ACAAATATTGTAACACTACTTTAAAAACTGTTTATTTGTTCATTTAGCTTAATAAATATTAAAATAATACATTTTACAAGACGACGGCAGTACACTATTGTTAAAATTATGATTTTAATATTTGATTTAATAGAAAAGAGTAATGTAAAGCTACTTTACAATCAGTTAATTTGTTCATTTAGCTTAATAAATATTAAAATAATACATTTTATAAGACGATTGCAGTAAACTATTGTTAAAATTGTGATTTTGTTATTAGTTTAATAGAGAAATAGTGTAATGCTATGTTTTCAAACTGTTTATTTGTTCATTTAGCTTAATAAATATTAAAATAATACATTTAAAAAGACAATTGCAGTAAACTACTGTTAAAATGATGATTTTGCTATTAGTTTAATAGACAAATAATGCAATGTTATGTTTTTAAACTGTTCATTTGTAAATTTAGCCTATAGTAAGTATTAAAATAATGCATTTTACATTTTACAAGACGATTATAATTAACTATTGTTAAAATAATTATTTGCTTTTATCAAAAACAATGTAACAGTACATTACAAACTGTTTATGTGTTGATTTAGCCAATAGTAAGTATTAAAATAATGCATTTTACCAGACGATTACAGTAAACTATTGCTAAAATTATGATTTTGCTATTAGTTTAATAGACAAATATGCAATGTTATGTTTTTAAACTGTTTATTTGTTGAATTAGCCTATAGTAAGTATTAAAATAATGCATTTTACCAGACGACTACAGTAAACTATTGCTAAATTGATGATTTTGCTATTTGATTTAATAGAAAAAGTAATGTAAAGCTACTTTACAATCAGTTAATTTGTTAATTTAGCTTAATAAATGTTAAAATAATACATTTTATAAGACAATTGCAGTAAACTATTGTTAAAATTATGATTTGCTATTAGTTTAAAAGACAAATAATGCAATGTTATGTTTTTAAACTGTTTATTTGTTGATTTAGCCTATAGTAAGTATTAAAATAATGCATTTTACCAGACGATTACAGTAAACTATTGTTAAAATGATGATTTTGCTATTTGATTTAATAGAAAAAGTAATGTAAAGCTACTTTACAATCTGTTAGTTTGTTCATTTAACTTAATAAATATTAAAATAATACACTTTACAAGACGATTATGATAAACTATTGTTAAAATAATTATTTGCTTTCATCAAAAACAATGTAACAGTACATTACAAACTGTTTATTTGTTGATTTAGCCTATAATAAGTATTAAAATAGTGCATTTTACCAGACGATTACAGTAAACTATTGTTAAATTGATGATTTTGTTATTTGATTTAATAGAAAAAGTAATGTAAAGCTACTTTACAATCAGTTAATTTGTTCATTTAGCTTAATAAATATTAAAATAATACATTTTATAAGACAACTGCAGTAAATTATTGTTAAAATTGTGATTTTTTTATTAGTTTAATAGAGAAATAGTGTAATGCTATGTTTTCAAACTGTTTATTTGTTCATATAGCTTAATAAATATTAAAATAATACATTTTACAAGACAAATGCAGTAAACTATTGTGTAAAATGATGATTTTGCTATTAGTTTAACAGACAAATATGCAATGTTATAATTTAAACTGTTCATTTGTAAATTTAGCCTATAGTAAGTATTAAAATAATACATTTTATAAGACAATTGCAGTAAACTATTGTTAAAATTTTGATTTGCTTTCATCGAAAAACAATGTAACACTACAATAAAAACTGTTCATTTGTAAATTTAGCCTATAGTAAGTATTAAAATAATACATTTTACCAGACATTCACAGTAGACTAGTGCTAAAATGATATTTGTGCTGTGTGTAACACAAGAATCCTCTTAATTTACAGTGAAAACAGTGATCAAATATTCTCAGAAAGCCATGACCCAGAGTAACTGGAAGGTGTTTGCTGATAAACCAACATTATTCGTTATTTATCAGAGTTCAGTAACCTGCTGGTCACTTATTTTGGACCAAAAATAATTACTGTTGGTGCGACACGGTAGCGCAGTGGGTGGCACCATCGTCTCACAGCAAGAGAGTCACTGGTTTGAGCCTCGGCTGGGCCAGTTGGCATTTCTATGTGGAGTTTGCATGTTCTCCCCGTGTTGGTGTGGGTACAAGACGAGCTATAGGTGAATTGGGTAAACTAAATTGTCCCAAGTGTATTGTGTGAGTGGGAATGAGAGTGTTTCCAAAACTGAGCTGGAAGGGCATCCGCTGTGTAAAACAGATGCTGGAAGAGTTGGTGGTTCATTCCGCGGTGGCGACGGCTGATAAATAAGGGACTAAGCCGAAGGAAAGTGAATGAATTTTACAAGATAATTACAGTAAACTATTGTTGAAATTTTGAACACACACACACACACACACACACACACATACACACACACATACGTTTGTTTTTGTGAAAAGTGGGGACATTACATAGGTTTCCATTCATTTTATACTGTCCAAACTGTATATTGTATTGCCCTTGTGTGTATATTGTATTGTGTGAGACTGTGTGCAGCTTTACTCTCTGATTAAACTCATTCTGTAGGATTTATAAGCATTTTGAGAAATGAGGACGTCACCAATGTCCTCATATTTCACCCCCGTTTTGTAATACCTGTGTCATACCCATGTCATTATACAGATTTGTGTCCTGATATGTCACAAAAACACGTACACACACACACACACACACACACACAAACGTACTTTTGACAGGCCAGAAAATGAGTTTCAGCATCAAGCAAACAGGGAAGGGAAGTAAAACACTGAACAGTGCAAATAAAGTGTGAACTCAGTCACACATTACAAAACGACAAAAAAAATCTGTGTAAAAAAAGGAAAAAGAAAGAAGACTGATGATTCTTTATAGTTGAGTTATTGAGGCTGTGTTGCCGATTGTGGCTTATTTGAAATACTTGTTTGCACTTATTTTTGAAAGTTTATACTGTGGCTTCCAGTAGAGTAAAGTTACACATTACAAATACTCCAACCACTGTAACTGAGTAGTTTTGCTCAGGAATTGTACTTTACTAAGTTGTTTGAAAAATGTGTGCTTTTACTTTCCCATGAGGACATTTTTAATGCAGTACTGGGACTTTCAGCAGTGAAATTTAAATCACACTGAACTTGTTGGGGAATTCATTGTGTCTTGATGAATTTCTGATGAATGTTTTACTCTCATTTATATGCTTATTTGAGTGGTTTCAGTATTATTTTCTATTGTATTATTACCCATACCTGTGGCATTATTATCAGGTATGTGTTCTTTGGTAAATAAAAAAGTCATTCTGTGTAAATGCAGTCAGAGATGAGAAGAGAAATTAGAAGAGCAGCATTAATGTCACAATGAGGGTTGATTAATGGAAGCAAGGCCAAAAGGACACCTGCGTTCTGTTCTGTAATTCATGATAAGGCACACCTGCACGTGTGCCCACACTCACTTGTACTGACATCTAAAGAATTATGAGTACATATGAACTTCAGCTGAACCTACAGTTGACAGCTCAGTGGACATTGAACAAGATATACTGTTGAGCATTGTTTTTGGCTGAGTCATCACTTTTGAAACAGTAAGGAAAGACCTTAACTGGACATGGATAAGACCCCTGAGATTCTATTGGTGGTGGGCACCTGAGATATTTAAGATCCCATTAGCGGAGAAGCTGATGGAGGTGTGTAATGTGTAAAGTTGGGTGGAGCATTAAGACACAGAAATGTATTTAAACTGTGTGCTAGCCTGTGTTCGGCAGACACGAACGACCTGTCTCTGTTGTTACTGATGCTGTAACAATAAACTGATTCAAATGATCTGGTCAGAGTGAGTCGACAGTTAACGACTCACTGATTCAAATGATCTGGTCAGAGTGAGTCTACAGTTAACGACTCACTGATTCAAATGATCTGGTCAGAGTGAGTCGACAGTTAACGACTCACTGATTCAAATAATCTGATCAGAGTGAGTCTACAGTTAATGACTCACTGATTCAAATGATCTGGTCAGAGTGAGTCGACAGTTAACGACTCACTGATTCAAATGATCTGGTCAGAGTGAGTCGACAGTTAATGACTCACTGATTCAAATGATCTGGTCAGAGTGAGTCTACAGTTAATGACTCACTGATTCAAATGATCTGGTCAGAGTGAGTCTACAGTTAATGACTCACTGATTCAAATGATCTGGTCAGGGTGAGTTCACAGTTAACGACTCACTGATTCAAATGATCTGGTCAGAGTGAGTCTACAGTTAATGACTCACTGATTCAAATGATCTGGTCAGAGTGAGTCTACAGTTATTAACTCACTGATTCAAATGATCTGGTCAGAGTGAGTCTACAGTTAATGACTCACTGATTCGACAGTTAACGACTGACTGATTCAAATGATCTGGTAAGAGTGAGTCGACAGTTAACGACTCACTGATTCAAATGATCTGGTCAGAGTGAGTCTACAGTTAACGACTCACTGATTCAAATGATCTGGTCAGAGTGAGTCTACAGTTAATGACTCACTGATTCAAATGATCTGGTCAGAGTGAGTCTACAGTTATTAACTCACTGATTCAAATGATCTGGTTAGAGTGAGTCGACAGTTAACGACTCACTGATTCAAATGATCTGGTCAGAGTGAGTCTACAGTTAACGACTCACTGATTCAAATGATCTGGTCAGAGTGAGTCTACAGTTAACGACTCACTGATTCAAATGATCTGGTCAGAGTGAGTCTACAGTTAACGACTCACTGATTCAAATGATCTGGTCAGAGTGAGTCGACAGTTAACGACTCACTGATTCAAATGATCTGGTCAGAGTGAGTCTACAGTTATGTCAAGTTGTCATGACAAAGACAAAAACAGGTTGTGATGTATTTGTTCATGTCAAGTTGTTATAACAAACAATGTCATCTCCGCATTTAAAGTGTTATAACTGAGCAAATGACACTTAATAACAGCTCTCATAAGCATGCATAAAACCTCCTTCACATTCATGTCATGATTATAAAGGTTTCATGACAGTCTTATGAACACCCCTTCATGTAAAGTGTTACCCCACAGACTGCCAAGAATGACGTATGACCGGAACGAATGAGTTACTACTCATATCAGTACTTGCACTACTAACCATGAGCTCGTTCAGAGCAGCTTCCTGATGTCAAACTATGTCAGCATGAAGATCCTCCTCAACAAACACATGTGCTTTATAGTTCAGCTCTGCGCTTCAGCTGATGCCAAAACACCATCCACTCTGCCACCAGTAATACTTTCTTTAAAATGACCCAGTCCAGTCGCTCCGTCCTCCTGCTGATGCTGTCTTCTCTGCACTGCCTGGGTGAGTTCAGATGCCTTTTTATGAGAAACAAAAGTGACTTTAGTGGAAATATTTAACCCTGGAGTCTTATGTAGCATGATTATGTTTCTGTCAATAGCCAGAATACATTGTGTGGGTCAAAATAATGGAAAATAAATCAAAGTTCATTAGAATATTAAGTAATGATCGAGTTTTCCTAATTATTTCTTATACAATAGATCAATTCAGAGTAATAAAAGCTCAATAAACATTACTTTGTTAAACCACAGAATTCGACTGAGCAGAGATCAACATCCCATAAATAAACAAAAACACACACAAAATCGCAAAATATGAGAACTTATAATTAATGCATGTTTATAATGTAAAATCACAAGCTTACTGTACCCATTTTTTGCAATATTTAGTAATTTTTTCAAATGTAAATATAACAAAAACGACATTTTTAATTAGTAATAGGCATTGCAAAAAGATCGGACTAACCCAAGCCCTAACCCGAACCCTAAAAGTACAGATTGGTTAATTTCCACACTTATATGCACATATGTTATTTCTTATACAATTTATTATTTCAGACTTTTAAAAAGTCAATAAACATCACTTTGTTAAAATTCGACAGAGCTGACATCAACATCCCATTTATAATCAAAAATCACATGTGAATTAAAAATTAAGGGAACTGATAATTGATGCATGCTTTCATAGTGTAAACAAGCTTGTTGTACCATTTTTCTGAAACAGTAAATTTCCGTCTATAAATTTATCAAAACTCCATTTTTAATTAGTAATATGCATTGCAAAGGAATCGGACAAACCATAGCCCTTACCTTAACCCTAATATTCCAGATTTGTTATTTTACTAATTTATTTGCACATATATTATTAATTATACAATTTATAATTTCAGACTAATAAAAGGACAATAAACATCGCTTTGTTAAACTGCAGAGTGGAATTTTCAGCATCAAAATTTGACATAACAGAGATCAACATCCCATAAATAAACAGTAAACACCTGTGAATAGCAAAATACGAGAACTGATAATTAATGCATGCTTTTATAGTATTAAGTAACAAGCTAATTATACAGATTTTTTAAACATTTAGTAAATTTCCATCAGTAAATATATCGAAACTCCATTTTTAAGTAGTAATGTGGATTGCTTAGGAATCGGACTGGCCATAGCCCTAACCTTAACCCTAATATTCAAGATTTATTGTTTTCCATATATTATTTATTATACAGCTTATGATTTCAGGCTACTTATATGTCAATAAATATCACTTTGTAAACCGCAGAGTTGAATTTTAAACATCAAAAGTCAACAGAGCAGAGATCAACATCTCATAAATAAACAAAAACGCAACTGAATGACAAATTATGGGAACTGATAATTAATGCATGTTTTCATAGTGTAAAATAACAAGCGAACTGTAGTCATTTTTTAAACATTTAGTAAATTTCTAACAGTATATATATTAAAATTCCATTTTTGATTAGTTATATGCATTCCAAAGGAATCGGACTAACCACAGCCCTAACCCGAACCCTAATAGTCAAAATTTGTTATTTTACTAATTTATTTGCACATATATTATTTATCATAAAATGTATTATTTTAGACTAATAAAAGGTCAATAAACGTTGCTTTATTAAACCACAGAGTTGAATTTTCAACATCAAAACTTGACATAACAGAGATCAACATCCCATAAATAAACAATAAACACCTGTAAATAACAAAATACGGGAATTCATAATTAATGTATGCTTTCATAGAGTAAAAAACAAGTTAATTGTCCCCATTTTTAGAAATATTTCGTAAATTTCCATTAGTAAATATATCAAAACTGCATTTTTAATTAGTAATATGCATTGCAAAGGAATCGGACTAACCCAAGCCCTAACCTTAACCCTAATAGAGCAGATTTGTTATTTTACTAATTTATTTGCACATATATTATTAATTATACAATTTATAATTTCAGACTAATAAAAGATCAACAAACATTGCTTTGTTAAACTGCACAGTTGAATTTTCAACATCAAAACTTGACATAACAGAGATCAACATCCCATAAATAAACAATAAACACCTGTGAATAACAAAATACGAGAACTGATAATTAATGCAAGCTTTCATAGTGTAAAGTAACATGCTAATTATACTCATTTTTGAAACCTTTAGTAAATTTCCATCTGTAAATATATCAAAACTACATTTTTAATTAGTAATGTGCTTTGCAAAGGATTCGGACTAACCCAAGCCCTAACCCGAACCTTAATAGACCAGATTTTCAAACAGACATATCTCTGCCAAATATCATCCTATCCTAACAAACTATACATCAATGGAGAGATTATTTATTCAGCTTTCGTGTGTGATGTAAATCCTGTAGACGTGTAAGTGTAAAAACTGACACTTACGACTAGTTTTAGTATCCTACAAACTACTCTAATACACCTTGATTCATAAGATAAAAAGTAAAAAGCTCCAGTCTAATCTTTTTCAAACTCAACACAAACAAGCTACACAGTTTTTCACACCTACACATTTCACATTTTGATGTGCACTTGTTGTGGTTTTCTAAGCCCTCCTTGTCTTTGTTCTCACAGGAAGTTCTCTTGAGTCAAACCCTAAAGACCCTTCAGTTTTGGCGGAAGCCCCTGGCCAGAACAAAAGAGATTCTGACATTTCTCTTGTGCCTCAAATGCCCGTCCTTCAGCCCAAAGAAACAGCACCGCCTCTGGTCACCTACACCATAAGAAACCCTCAAGGCAAAGTGTGTGTGAGGGCCAGTTTTGGAGTGGAGTTCGTGGTGAGAGAGAACAAAGTAAGCATGCTATTTTATCAGCACTTTTATTTTGCTCTCACAGCATGTTTGTGCAAAGGGTGAGAACTTGCTTGGTTTACCACCAACATCGTCAACGGCTCACAGAGCTGTCAGGAAAAAAAACAACTCAAATGTGCTAAATATATAAGCCTGTGGGCACACCAGCTCTGAACTGGACAGCAGATATAAAGGTCTATTGTTGACAATTTGGCTGTCGATACACTGTTAAAATATCCATGAATCAGGAGTTTTTGTTATTTTGTGATTTATATTTATTTAGGTTTTGCATTGCATTGTGGGATATTGATTTTTTGCATTATTGGATCTCTATTCAGACTGCAAAAAAAATATCCCATTTAACAAATCCACACAGTACAAACAACATTATGGGATCTTTTTGGCCCCAGAGTGAGTCTACCAATAACAACTCACTGATTCACATGATCTGGTCGGAGTGACTCGACAAGGAATGACTAACTGATTCAAATGATTTGGTCAGAGTAAGTAAAGTTTATTTATTTGGGATTAGAGTGAGTCTACAGTTATTGACTCACTGATTCAAATGATCTGGTCAGAGTGAGTCTACAGTTATTGACTCACTGATTTAAATGATCTGGTCAGAGTGAGTCTACAGTTAATGACTCACTGATTTAAATGATCTGGTCAGAGTGAGTCTACAGTTAATGACTAACTGATTCAAATGATCTGATCAAAGTGAGTCTACAGTTAACGACTCACTGATTCAAATGATCTGGTCAGAATGAGTCTACAGTTAATGACTCACTGATTCAAATGATCAGATCAGAGTGAGTCTACAGTTAACGACTCACTGATTCAAATTATCTAGTCAGAGTGAGTCTACAGTTAACGACTCACTGATTCAAATGATCAGATCAGAGTGAGTCTACAGTTAATGACTCACTGATTCAAATGATCAGATCAGAGTTAGTCTACAGTTAATGACTTACTGATTCAAATGATCTTGTCAGAGTGAGTCTACAGTTAATGACTCACTGATTCAAATGATCTAGTCAGTGTGAGTCTACAGTTAACGACTCACTGATTCAAATGATCAGATCAGAGTTAGTCTACAGTTAATGACTTACTGATTCAAATGATCTTGTCAGAGTGAGTCTACAGTTAATGACTCACTGATTCAAATGATCTAGTCAGAGTGAGTCTACAGTTAAAGACTCACTGATTCAAATGATCTGGTCAGAGTGAGTCCACAGTTAAAGACTCACTGATTCAAATGATCTGGTCAGAGTGAGTCCACAGTTAACAACTCACTAATCAGTTTGTGCTGATTTCTTGATTTAATTTGTATGCAAGAGTCACAGAAGGTGTGTAGACCCCTATAGGGTTTTTCATTTTTCCCAAATTTTGTCACTGTACATGAATTAAGTACACTTAAAGGACACAACATTGAACATGTCGACAGCAAATGAGAGATTATAATCTTTCTTTCTTGCTGTTTTTACAAATTCCTTGCAGTCAGATTATGATGAAGTATCTTGATCTTTAGATTGTAATCATCATTTTGTAGAACTGACATATTGTTAGAGTAAATCAGCACTTATCTTCAATTCCAGAAGAAGTATTATTTCAACTTGACTCCTAACTCAGCACGGGCCACAGGATACTGTGCGAACCAAAAGACCGTCCTCTCACTGGAGTTTTCTGGTGGAAATCTGGAGTTTACTTTCATCAAGGTAACTACAGTCCCTTTTATTTTCAGTTTTATGTTTATTATAAGTCTTCTTTTAACATTAAACACATGGGGCTAATTAACATTCAGTGCAACATTCTGCCACTCTTTTAGGATGGGGATCAGTCCTATGTGAAGACTGTCAAAGGTTCTCTGAGAGCTGCTCCTCCTTGTAAAAACTGCCCAAGTAAGTATTAGTTACAATCATAAAATCATCACTATATTAATTATCATGTAATAGCTCACAGAAACATGCCTGGGCCATATTGCCTCTCTAAATCCAAAGAAAATTATAATTAAGAAACCAACACCGAAGTAAGTTGGCAAAACCAACTGAAACAGTTGCAAGCAAGAAATCAGGGTGGGGCCAGCAGTGCAGGAAGTCAGGATGGAGCCAGCAGAACAGGAAGTCAGGATGGAGCCATTAGAGCAGAAAGTCAGGATAGAGCCAGTCAGGATGGAGCCAGTAGAGCAGGAAGTCGGGGTGAAGCCAGTAGAGCATGAGGTCAGGGTGGGTACAGATAAGCAGGAGAACAGGAAGTCAGGGTGAATTGAGAGACCAACACCGAAATAAAGACAGACAAAACCAACTGAAACAGTTGCAAGCAGGAAGTCAGGGTGGAGCCAGCAGAAGAGGAAGTCAGGATGGAGCCAGTAGAACAGGAAGTCAGGATGGAGCCAGTCAGGATGGAGCCAGTACAGCAGAAAGTCAGGGTGAAGCCAGCAGAAGAGGAAGTCAGGATGGAGCAAGCAGAACAGGAAGTCAGGATGGAGCCAGCAGAACAGGAAGTCAAGATGGAGCCAGCAGAACAGGAAGTCAGGATAGAGCCAGCAGAACAGGAAGTCAGGATGGAGCCAGTCAGGATGGAGCCAGTACAGCAGAAAGTCAGGGTGAAGTCAGCAGAAGAGGAAGTCAGGATGGAGCAAGCAGAACAGGAAGTCAGGATGGAGCCAGCAGAAAAGGAAGTCAGGATGGAGCCAGCAGAACAAGAAGTCAGGATGGAGCCAGCAGAACAGGAAGTCAGGATGGAGCCAGCAGAACAGGATGTCAGGATGGAGCCAGTCAGGATGGAGCCAGTACAGCAGAAAGTCAGGGTGAAGCCAGCAAAAGAGGAAGTCAGGATGGAGCCAGCAGAGCAGAAAGTCAGGTTGGAGCCAGTAGAGCAGGACGTCAGGGTGAAGCCAGCAGAACAGGAAGTCAGAATGGAGCACGTCAGGGTGAAGCCAGCAGAGCAGAAAGTCAGGATGGAGCCGCAAAGCAGGACATCGGGGTGGGTACAGATAAGTAGGAGAACAGGAAGTCAGGGTGAATTAAGAGACCAACACCTAAATAAAGACAGACAAAACCAACTGAAACAGTTGCAAGCAGGAAGTCAGGGTGGAGCCAGCAGAAGAGGAAGTCAGGATGGAGCCAGCATAGCAGGAGAACAGGAAGTCAGGATGGAGCCAGCAAAACAGGATGTCAGGATGGAGTTAGCATAGCAGGAAGTCAGGGTGAAACCAGCAAAGCAGAAGAACAGGAAGTCAGGGTGGAGCCAGCAGATCAGGAAGTCAGGATGAAGCCAGCAAAACAGGAAGTCATGATGGAGCCGGTAGAGCAGGAGAGCAAGAAGTCAATGTGGACTTCAGGAAGTCAGGATGGAGCCAGCATAACAGGAAGTCAGGGTGGAGCCAGGAGAGTAGCAGAGCAAGAAGTCAGGGTGTAGCCAGCAGGGCAGGAAGTTAGGATAGAGCCAGCATAGCAGAAAGTCAGGGTGGAGCCAGTAAAGCAGGAGAGCAAGAAGTCAGGGTGGAACCATCAGGAAGTCAGGATGGAGCCAGCATAGCATGAAGTTAGGGTGGAGCCAGTAGAGCAACAGAGCAGGCAGTCAGGGTGGAGCCAGTAGAACAGAAATTCAGGATGGAGCCAGCATAGCAGGAGAACAGGAAGTCAGGGTGGAGCCAGCAGGAAGTCAGATGGAGTCAGTAAAGCAAAATAGCAGGAATACAGCAAAGAGACAGGAGAGCATGAAGTCAGGGTGGAGTCAGCAGGAAGTTAGGCTGGGTACAGCAGAGCAGGAAGTCAGGGGGGAGCCTGTCAGGCTTTATAAGATTAGCCGACATTGATAGAAAAGAACTAAAATGACTTGATTTTTCCTATCACTTTGCTTGCAAAACATTTCCTGAATTTATTCCACAGGTAAAATCTATGTAGGACTGGTGGATAACGAAAAGTTGTTCAAAGCAAAAAATGGCCTGAGCTTCAACTGCAAGTCTGAGACGATGTTGATACTGGCAGACTACTTCAGACTTAAACTGGTGCCACTGCAGATTCAAGCCTTCGATCTGGTCAATGGGGCATTTGGAAAAGGTAAACAGTACAGGGTGTAAAGAGATTGTAGGTCAGAGGTGGAAGTAAGTCACAAGTAAGCTTGTAAGTAAGTCTTAACCTTCAAGTCTTAAACAAGTCAGGACAATTTTTTAGATTCAAGCAAGTCAAGTCATGGCTTATTTCAAGCAAGCCAAGTTGTTGCTTGGTCAAGTCAAGACATTGCTAATTTCAAGAAAGTCAAGGTATTTTTTTTAGACTTAAGCTAGTCAAGTCCAGTGACGTCACTGCTTATTTAAAGCAAGTCAAGTCATAGCTTGGACAAGCAAGTCGCTGTCAAGTCATTATACATTTAATGAAGATTTAATTGAACTTTTAGATTAAAATACAGTAGTATTTTACTGATTTATAAAAGTTTTACTTGCAACAAAAAACATGCATTTGCACTTAAAAGATGTCCACATCCAGCTACGCTTAAACATAAAAATGTCTATGGAAAAGTAGTTCTTCTTAATGAGCTGATCGATCAAACTGGTTTATAGTTCCAGTAAGCACCAATCCACAATTTACCTAAAGCTACTTATACTTTATCACACCTGACACTACCACTGATGCAAAATAAACCAATATCCTGAGTTATTCAGCTACTGCAGTAGTCATCAACTCGAGTCAGGAATTGGTGGGTTTATTTCAGGGGTGCCCAAACTCGGTTCTGGAGTGTCCTGCAGAGTTTTAGCACCAACTTGCCTCAACACACCTGCACAGATGTTTCTAGAAAGCCTAGTAATGCTGTGTTCACACCAGACGCGGAACGCGTGGATAAATCGCGCTATTCGCGCGTAAATAGCCGCGTAAACATTTGAGTGTACTTGCTTCATTCGCGCGTCAACCCCCGCTTCATTCGCGCGTCAAATCCGCTTCAATAAACTATAAATTTTATAAACTATAACTTCAATAAACTCCTCCAGACACTGAACATGGATGACGGAGACTTTCAGCGGTGCTTCTGACTGAGCCAAGCCCAGTTTGATGACTTGTTGTCGGTGTCGCCTGGAGGACTTCCCCCAGGAGACCATCAACAGGTTCTACGTCCCCACACGCCCCCACAAGTGCAAGCTTCTGATTGGTTAACGCGGCGGGAATGTCCGCTGAAGTTCAGATTTTCGAACGCGAGAGATTCACGCGAAACGCTCATTAAGCGAATCAAACGCGCAAAATGCTCAATTCGCCCTGCGCAATTCACGTCATCCGCGCCGCGCCATTCGCGCATATCGCGCCGCAGGGTGTCTATTCACACGTTTGCATTGACTTAACATGTAAATCACTCGCGCTTGACGCGCATTCCGCGTCTGGTGTGAACGCAGCATAATGCTGTGTTCACACCAGACGCGAAACGCGCAGATAAATCGCGCTATTCGCGCTTAAAATAGCCGCGTGAACATTTGAGTTTACTCGCTTCATTCGCGCGTCAAACCCCGCTTCATTCACGCGCCAAATCCGCTTCATTCGGGTGTCAAATTTAATTCAGTACAGACGCGGATTCGCGTGATGGGCAGGACTTCTGTCTTCCCGGTGACTGTAGCTTTGTTGCTAAAAGGCTAACATGGATTTTTAGAAGAAAATAGCAGTGTTTATGTACTTTATGAAGGCTGAAAAACGGCGTTGATACATTTAGGACCGTGTCTGAGTCCACTACATGCTTTCAGAGGTGCATCCAGCTGTGTGAGCTCATAAACTTCTCCAGAAACTAAACCTGGATCACGGAGGCTTTCAACGGTGCTTCTGACTGAGCCAAGCCCAGTTTGATGACTTGTTGTCGGTGTCGCCTGGAGGATACCATCAACAGGTTCTACGTCACAATCACGCCCCCACAAGAGCAAGCTCCTGATTAGTTAACGCGGCGTGAATGTCCGCTGAAATTCAGATTTTCGAACTGGAGAGATTCGCGCGAAACGCTCGTTAAGCGCGTCAAACGTGCAAAACGTTCAATCGCCAGGAGAAGAATGAATGTAGCGGAAACGATGGTGTAAAATAAGTCTCTAATGTCCCCAGAGTGTGTATGTGAAGTTTCAGCACAAAATACCACAACCCTTTAGGCTCCTAATTGTTGCCATTTTGATGACTGTAGCTTTAAATTCAAATGAGATGGTGCTCTTTAAAAAACAGGGAGGAGCTACAAAGGCCTGTGTGTCAGTATAGTGGCAGATTCAAAAACAAGACTAACATTCTATGCATATGCTAATGAGGGAGAGTGTAACAAGTGTAGCATGATTGAATATTCATGATTGACTGATCATGTCTTGATTTCAGAGGTTGAATGCTGGGCGGATTACAACAAGCGGATGATCCCGATAATCCTAGGGGCCGTAGCTGCGGCCATTTGCCTCATAGCCATTCTGACCTATGTGCTCGTCAGAGAACATCGAAACCAAGGGTATGAACAACTCTAAGACTCTAGATGCGGATCTTGAGGACGAATCACTAGATCTTGAGTTTTGGATTTTGTGATATTGCTTCACAGTTACTCTCATTAAACAATTAAAATACGATTGATGATTGAAATAATGTTGTTGTTGTTGTTTTGAATGGACTTTTGCTACTTTAATGTCTGATGCTAATCATAAAGGTGCGAAAGCATTTCATTGGCATTTAATCATTTGGCTATTGATGACGTTGTTGTAACAAAATAAATATGATGAACGAAGAGAAGCCAGTCCAGGAGACTTGAACAAGCAGAAACTTCTTTAGTTACGTCTTGGTTAGTCTGCAGTCAATACAGTGTCTTCAAGAAGTCCACGAGTCTGCAAGATCCTATACGAGTCTCTTACAAGGTCTGCAGTCAGCGAGATTGATCACGAGTCTGAGACAAAGATGTCCTGCATATAATGTGGCTGGGTGGAGATGGCTTAACAAAGCATGCAAAGGAAGTAGGTAGGTTGGTGAATAAACTTGCCAAGCCACAGACCACACAAGTTTATCAACAAAGGGGTTTCGTTGGCCTGAAAGTATCACCTGAAGGTAATGGAAGAGTCGGTAAAACCCTGCCCAGAGCATTTGCATCACTTTGGCCTGGTCAGTAGTCAGGAAGACAAAGGTTTAATGTCCCTCATAGATGGGCTACTACAGTTTCGAATGCAATGATATAATTAAAAAACCAAAGAAGATAACTTTTCAGCTATATGTAGATTATTGTTCATTTGAAACTAGATTATATACATTTAATTTTCAACGATGTTATCTAAAGAGACTTGCAAATGTAGACAATGAATGTAATTAAAGCAACACGCAACAGAACCAAAAATATGTAAATAATATGTTAATTCCTAGTTAGTCTAATGCAATATACAAATATACAGAATATGTTGTTAGAAAGTCAGATTAGATGACTTAGAGAGTCTTATAGTGTTAACGTATGTAAATATACGTATAATTATTTGTCCGTATGTTAATGTATAATTAGCCAATTAAGTGAATTTCCTACCATGTTGAATGTGCACTTTATTTATTGGTTGTATGTATTTTGTTCATTACGTGCAACATCCTCTTTAAAGGGTTCATTTAATTTAAGTTTATGTATTTCTTTTCCTCGTTCTGATGGCATTGTTGAGACATAAAGGAATGCAAGGCTAGAATGTACGAGACATACTACAGACTAGTGTCTGAATAAATGTCAGTTTAAATCAAGAACGACTAGAGCCTTTGTTTAATCTCGAAAAAAAAATAATGAGGAGTTTAACAGCATTTAGGTAAACAGTATTTGTGTAAGGGTGACGCGGTGGCGCAGTAGGTAGTGCTGTCGCCTCATAGCAAGAAGGTCGCTGGTTCTAGCCCCAGCTGGGTCAGTTGTCATTTCTGTGTGGAGTTTCCTTGTTCTCCCCGTGTTGGCGTGGGTTTCCCCCAGGTGCTCCACAGTGTAAACACTTGCACTATAGGTGAACTGATTAACTAAATTGCCCGTATTTGTGTGCATGTGAGCGTGTATGGGTGTTTCCCAGTACTGGGTTGCAGCTGGAAGGGCATCCGCTGTGTAAAACATATGCTGGATAAGTTGGTGGTTTATTTCGATGTGGCGACCCCTGATGAATAGACGGACTAAGCTAAAGGAAAATAAATGAATGAATAAATAAAAAAATATATAAATAAAAATATATATACACACACAAACTCCACATGGGTTACTCTGTCAGTTGTTTTTGGTAATAAAGGCGTACACTTGATTAAACTTTCTGAAGTGTTTTTAGCAAAGAATGAAAGAATAGCTTATCGTCTGTAGTTTCTAGAGTAGGTACACAAAAAATGTAGACTTTTCCCTAAATATACAGTATACACATTTTTTATTTGTGATTTAACTGGTCTGGATTATATTTATATTGAAAATGTTAATAAAATAATATACATTTTAATTGCAAATTAGTTTATTGTTTAAACCTACAAGAGAAATTCTAATGAATGATTACATACCTCGTCCTTTACCTCACATCCACACAGAGGAAAGAAAGTTGACCACGCACCTCACAAAACGCCAAACCTGAAGGAAATTACAGACTGTAAAATAAATAATAAACATACAAAACATTATTTATCAAAACTTTGAGATAATATGTTCTGTGTATAGCTACATTTGGTACCTTAAATCATTCATTAACCTACACAGAAGAGTCTGAGCACAGTTAAAACAATTCATCCGCAAAATGCATACACGATCCGCAAGTTACATAATGTCTGTCTGTCAAGTAAATATATTAATATTTTTCAAAAAATTGCCTTAAAACTCTTTTGTGTTAAAGCGAAATAATCCTATTTTACTACATATCCCATAATGCCTTGATATTGACGTCGTCCCCGCCTCCAATTTCTCTCTTCTGATTGGCTGTTGGAAGTACGGTAAGACGATAGGGACAAACTTAACGTGTTTGCTATCCACCGGCTACACGTAGCACCGCAAATATTATCGTTTTAACCACAGCGTAAACAGAAAAATTAAACAAAATACCAATGTTTAGAAAAAATACATCAACTATATAAAATATATGAGTGAAATTTATGAAACTGATGCGCTGTTTTAGTGCAGGAGTCGCGTAGTTACAGTTGTTCTATGCTAACACAGTGACCATGGCTGCCGTGTTTTTGAAAACTCACATCAACGGAACTATAAACAAACATCTGCTGTGAGTTACAAACTACTTAGTAATATATTCAACACATTTATATGAGTGTGTGTGTGCATGAATCCGGCTGAATGAATCAATACAGTTAACGTTATGCGGGTTTGCACTGATATCAGTCGATCTGTCAGATTTGACATTCAAACTTTGCTTCAAGCCTAAAGTTAATTGATGTATTTCAAACTAATTAACTTCGACTTTTATAGTTTAACTGCAGTTAAATCTTTCTGAATACTGAGGTTGTATATTTTTGCAGAAAGCATTGGATTTTTAAAAAATAAAATATGTACTGCAAGGTGAATGGAGATGCTTGTATTATGTGTATGAAATGTTTTACTTAATGTTATTCTTTTAAAATACTGTAATAATAAGCGTTTTTTAAATTAAAATACTTATAATATTAATGTTTTCACATTAAATAAGAGGTCACCTCTTGAGATGTCCAGCGTTTGCCCTTCACAGCACAATTACTTCATTCAGACTGTTTACTAAACAAATCAAAACAAATCTACTTGCACTATATTCAGTAACATGAGGTAAAGTTGGTTTTATATTGGCACATTCAGACTCAGCTTCGAGTAAAGCATAGTTTTAAAAGGCTACTTAAATTGTAAAGGCTTTTAAAAGTTATTGTTGTGAGCACAACTTGTGACAATGTCCCTATATTGTTTACAATGCTACTTTGGATATTCTGTTTAATATCACATATAAATAAGTATGACGTCAGACTAACTTTAGCACTATTTCATTGACTGTGAACAATGTTGGTTCATTCCACTGTGGCGACCTTGGATTAATAAAGGGACTAAGCCGACAAGAGAATGAATGAATGAATGAATGTCCTCAAGGACTGCATCTAATCTGACTTGAGTTTAGAAACGACATACTAGAAAGTCCCGTATCTTTTACAGGGTAATTAAGTAAGATGTATAACTTGTGACTAGACATGCTGAAACTTAATAATACAGTATCTTGTGATAATAAAAATGCATTTGTTATTGCCTATTATGGTATTGCCAATGTTGTTGCCTATTCATACAATTTAGATTGTTGTATTGGCAATGGTTTTTCCACACAGCAACAAATTTGTGCAGAGGCTTTTATTTTTTTTAAACATTTCCACATTAATCTTACCTGTGACATCCATGAGATATTGATTGAAAATGCTCTTTGTCAACAATTTATAATAAGTCTTTATTAACATTAGTTAATTAATCTAAACTCAATGAAAACTACTTGTGAAGCATTTATTAATCTTAGATAATGTTGATTAAAAATTCTGAATAGAATTGTCATTTTTATAGAAAGAATTTCAAGGCGCAGCCTTGGGCTGGAGGGGGTCCGGTTCGGGGACCACAAGGTTGGAAATGGCTGATATAGATATGCAAATATAATGAAATTTCATTTTAATTTTACAACCAATTCTGCAAATGTGGCTTGGAAAACGCTCATTTAAATACAAATTTTCTTTCGGCGAATTTTCATTTTACATTTCAAAATGAATTTCAATTTGGCTATTCATATTGTTTTATTAACAGTATCGTATAGTATATCATCAAATAAGCAAAAAGGAAAGTTTGCTGCTATCTTATACATTCCTATGAAGCTCTTTAGCGCAATCTGTATTAATACATGAACGAATAAATAAATAAAAATGCTCTGTTAACTGCAGGACGCTGATTTGGACCAAAGGATCCGTCAGACATGGCTCTGTGGGTAAGATGTGTCATTATTTCATTCATATTCTGCAGTTTGCTTGTTATTGTTGTCTTCTAGTGTGTTTATCTGTGTGTTTCTGTGTGCACAGGCCGGATCGAGAAGGTGGTCATCGCTAACAGAGGAGAGATCGCCTGTCGGGTGATGCGGACGGCGAGGAAGATGGGGGTTCGTTCGGTCGCGGTTTACAGCGACGCAGACAGACATTCCATGCATGTGGCCATGGTGAGAACATCAATTTTTAGGCCTCCTGTGAAAGTTTCAATGTTCTTCAAATGTTTTCCAAGTGATGTTTAACAGAGGAAGGACATTTCTTTCCACATTATTTCCTAATAGATCTTCCTTCAGTATAAAGTTTTGTTTTGGATGCATTGCCTTTAGTATGGTCTTAGATTTTATTGGATTTTTTTAAATCATTATCATTCTTATCAAAAGTATACAGTATGAAAGTTGTTGAAAACCATATTTAATGATGTTCCTGAAAACTTGACGCATCTTAAGCTTAATATTTGACAGATTTTTTCCATCGTTAAAAGATAGTCATGTTAAATAGTGAAAATCTGTATGTGTCACCAGGCGGACGAGGCGTATCACATCGGTCCAGCAGCGTCTCAGCAGAGTTACCTGTGCATGGACAAGATCCTGGATGTGGCCAAGAAGTCATCTGCACAGGTGAGCTCA